TATTTATATTTTCGTTTACTTGTCCTTAGACGGTTTAGTTTTATTATGCGTTATATTTTTATTTATTTGTGCGACCGTCAACCTAATCTCTCTCGTTCGTAAGAATTATTGTTTTCGCGAGCACCGAACGATTTTGTGTAGAATTACTCCGATTGGTCCGGTACTTTGGGGTGGGAATATTTTAGACAAGCGAGTATAAAAATGAGGATATTTGAGCGCGCGACACAGTTTGACACAGTCTGACAATCTGAGAAAGTACTTATTCTGGCGGCGTTACCAGCGGCTCCGGCGTCTGTATCGACTCTACAGTATATATATATATATATATACACATCGGATCGCAAATAAATACATTTTACTGGAACATAATATACATATATATATATCCTCACACACACATCCTGACTAAATTATAATAAATTGAACAAGATCCATCCATCTGGCATAAATCTGAGGACCGCGAATCCAGTCAGCGACGAGGTAAAAAGGTTAGTGCTAATGCTTATCGCGCGCTAACAGCGTCAGAAGTGGGATTCGGAGCTCGCCCTGACATTGCGAGAATCCGGAAATCTTGACGAGGCGCGTTTCGGGAAGCGTGACGCGAGTGTTAGGTTTTCGCGAGCGCGTCGACGGGCAATTAACTATTCGATTCCGGAAAGACAGTCACGATGGAAATCGGGAGTGAGATGACGGTGACCGAATTGAAGACCGCTCTTCGTCAACGCGGACTGACCACGGACGGGTTAAAGGTCGAACTGATAAAACGGTTGAACGAATACGATCCGAATGTGTGGGGAGAGTTGGCGGAGACGCTGGGGGCCGCGCAGGGTGAGGACGGGGATCCGGGTTGTTCGCGTCGGTCGGATGGGGACGACGAGACACCGGCGGAGGACGAGGAGACTCGGGCACCGACGGCGAGCGTGGAGGTTCGAGCGTCGGCGACGAGGATGGAGACTAGGGCGCCTGCGGCGAGCGTGAGGTCTCGGGCATCGGTGGCGAGCGAAGAGGCTCGTGCACCGAGAGACAGGAGCTTCGCGGAGCAGGGCCTGGAGGACCATAGCCTGATGAGACGAGAGCTGGAGATACTCCGCCGAGAGAGAGAGAGTGCTGGCGGAGAGAGCAACAGTTGCTGCAGCGAGAGCTGGAGATTGTGAGAGGCTCTCCTACGGCGAGAAGCGCGGCATCGGAGGGCAGCGCGGTATCAGCGACGAGCGGCGTGCGAGAAATTCGAGAGCTGCTTCCCGGGTTTGACAGGGACAATACTTTTTGGAGGTGGAAGCAACAACTGCAGTTATTAAAGACCACCTACAATCTGAACAAAAATGCTACTCGCATTTTAATTAGTTCACGGTTGAAAGGACGCGCACTGTCGTGGTTCTACTCGAGGGCAGAATACTTGGTGTTGAGCGTCGAAGATCTGCTCAAGGAGATGGATCAGATGTTTGATCTGCGTCCGGGCAGGCTTACCATGAGAAGGGAGTTTGAGTCCCGGACTTGGAAATCAGGCGAATCATTTTGCGACTACTATCATGACAAAATGATCCTGGCGAATCGAGTGCCGATAGCTCAGGACGAAATCCTGGACTATGTGATCGAGGGAGTGTCGGACCAGAGGTTGCGGAACCAGGCACGGATGCTGAATCTGGAGAGGGGAGCCGATTTACTGAAGGCATTCGAAAAGATTCGAATCGATGGGGAGAGAACGAACGACAAAACCAGGAGGGACGGACAGAGGACTACCAACAGCAAAAGGACAGAGGCGACGACGGCTGAGGGAGTGCGAAGGTGTCATCGTTGTCGCGAGACGGGGTACATTGCAGCGTATTGTAGGCGGACGTTACCGACTAGGAAAACGTGTTTCGTTTGCGGATCGGAGGGTCATTTCGCGCGGGAGTGTCCGAGACGTAATCAAGCCTCAACGTCGGGGGCATCGAAGGACGTGGCGCGGACTACCACGACAAATATGTTGCATCCGGTCGATCTTCCTAAGCCGTACATGATCCGTGTAAAGATTTTGCCCGGTGACGCGAAAGAGAAATGTACATATGTGGTGGACGCAATGATAGACTCCGGTTCGCCTATTAGTCTGGTGCGCGACGACGTAGTTCCGTGCGAGGCGAGATGCGACACGGCAAACGAACAGCCGTTCTGCGGGATTAATGGGTCGCGGCTGGAGATCGATGGTGCTTTCTTCGGTCAGTTGGAGGTCGGCGGGGTACGGGTCGGGATGAAGTTCTATGTGGTTCCTCGAAAGACAATGGCTTTCGATGTCTTGCTGGAGAGGGATTTTTTAAACTGTCCGCGACTTCACGTTACGATTGGCGATACGTTTGAGATCGCGGGGACCGAAGAGAAGAGCGCTATAAACTCTTTAATGCGCGTCGATTGCGGCGGCGATTCCATTGATCCGTGCGACGAATTGAAAATAAATCCGGCGGTCGGCGGCGAGGTGGCCGCGCGGATTTGCGGGGCGTACAAGGCGCATTATATTAACAAGATGCGAATTGAGGAAAATGCGCCCGATTATAAAATGATAATTGCTCTAAAAAACAAACAACCAATAAGTTCGCGGTCGCGACGATTGTCCTTCGCGGATAAGGAACTTCTACGCGAAATTTTGGACGATTTATTGGAAAGATCTATTATACAACCGAGTAGTTCTCCGTATGCGAGTCCTATAGTCTTGGTGCGGAAAAAGGACGGAGGGTGCCGTTTGTGCGTGGATTATCGAGAATTGAATAAAATCACGATACGCGACAATTTTCCGACGGAAGTGATAGACGATAACATCGATCGTCTACAGGGAAAGGTGTATTTTTCCATCTTGGACATGAAGGACAGATTCCATCATGTCAGGATGCATGAATCGTCCGTGAAGTACACGTCATTCGTTACGCCTCTCGGGCAGTTCGAGTATCTGCGCATGCCATTCGGGTTGGCGAACGCTCCACGGGTTTTTCAGCGATTCGTGCATATGATGTTCGAGGCATTGATCCGCGAAAATAAGATTCTAATTTATTTAGATGATTTGCTGATCGCTACGAAAGATCTAGACGAGCACATCGAAATCTTATCGAGAGTGTTCGAGGTAGCAGGTGAGAATCGATTAGGATTTCGACTCGATAAGTGTCACTTCGCCCGGACGGAAATAAAATACCTGGGTTACTGCGTGAGTAGACACGGTATCCGGCCGAGCGACGAGAATGTTGCGTCCGTCGTTGACTATCCGGTGCCGCGTAGCGCGAAGAACATGCAGCATTTTCTGGGGCTGGCGAGTTATTTTCGCCGATTTATTCCTGGGTTTTCCCTATTGGCGAAACCACTATACGACTTGATAAGAAAGAACGCGACATTTAAATATGAGTCCTCTGAAAGTGCGGCTTTCGAGACACTGAAACGCCATTTGTCGAATGGACCGGTACTCGCGATTTATTCACCGCAGGCGGAGACTGAGCTGCATTGTGACGCGAGTGCTAGCGGGTTCGGCGGTATATTGCTTCAAAAGCAAAGCGATGGTTCGTGGCGTCCGATCTCGTTTTGAAGCCAACGGACTACGCCGACGGAATCTAAATATCACAGTTTCGAGCTCGAGTGTCTCGCCGCTGTTTACGCCTTAAAACGTTTTCATATATATCTCGCGGGGCGAAAGTTTCGAATAATCACGGATTGCGACAGTTTTCGGCTGACATTAAATAAAAAGGATATCAATCCGCGAATTTCACGATGGGCGCTATTTTTACAAAATTACGATTACGAAATCGTCCATCGCCCGGGAAAACGAATGGGACACGTCGATGCACTCAGTCGATGCCATAGCATTCTTGTACTTAAGGGTAGCACGTTCGAAAGAACTCTATCCGTGTGTCAGGATCGCGACGAAGAAATTCGCGAAATACAAAAGAGACTCGAAAGAGGCGACGTGAAATATTACGAATTAAGAGATGGACTGGTGTATCGTAAAGACCGTAACAAAAAATTGCTTTTTTATGTGCCGCGGAGTATGGAGTCTAATGTGATTAGGACGTGCCACGATGATCTCGGTCATGTGGGGATCGACAAGGTCATTGGAAACATCGCGCAGATTTATTGGTTTCCGCGAATGCGCGAGAAGGTACGGGAATATATTGACAATTGTCTGCGTTGTATAGAATTTTCTCCGCCCGGCGGGAAAGCAGAGGGATTTTTACATAATTTGACAAAGGAGAAGATACCGTTTGATACCATACATGTTGATCATATGGGACCTTTAGAAAAAACCGGGAGGGGCTATCGTCATTTGTTCGTCGTGATAGACGCCTTTACGAAGTTTATTAAACTTTACCCCTGCCGAACCACCGGAACGGAGGAAGTATTAAAACATCTTAGCGAATATTTTCGCGTATATAGTCGACCGAAGCGAGTGATATCGGACCGTGGGACATGTTTTACGTCCGAGGTGTTTAAGGAATTTGTAGAGCGTGAATCAATTGAACACACGTTAACGGCCGTGAGTACGCCGAGAGCGAACGGTCAAGTCGAGCGATTCAATCGACTAATAACGCCAATGGTGGCAAAACTAAGCGAAACACCAGATAAATGGGATCGCGTACTCGATCAGGCGGAATTCGCTATTAATAATACGATCTGTCGAGCTACCGGCGAAACCCCTGCCCGCTTGTTATTCGGTTTGGGGCAGCGGGGTAAGTTAGACGATTGTCTCCGCGACATACTCGAAAAAGATGCGGAAATCGTACGAAATTTGGATTCCCTCCGAGATAAAGCGAGCGACAGGATAAATGAGACGCAGCAAAAAAGCGCCGAGCGATACAATTTGCGAAGAAGAGCGGCTCGTAAATATAACGTCGGCGATTATGTCGAAATTCGAAACATAGAAACTGTAGCTGGTATAAATAAAAAACTAATTCCAAAATATAAAGGCCCGTACGTTGTGAAGAAGGTGTTAGATCGCGACCGTTACGTCATCGCCGATGTAGACGGATTCCAATTGACGCAGCGACCGTATACGGGTATTTTTGCGCCAGATCATATGCGTCCATATATTTGTAATTAAGTGACGACATTATTTTATTTGTAATATTTATTTTGAATATGAGATTGTGATATAAATTGTCGTGAATCACGGGGATAACGATTGACCGGGTCAGTCAAGAGTCAGGAATGGCCGAGCTGTAAGCATTTTTATATATTTTAACTTTATTGCCGTATGTATAAGGGAAAGGAAAGCGAGAGAGATGTTAATCTATTTTATTTATATTTTCGTTTACTTGTCCTTAGACGGTTTAGTTTTATTATGCGTTATATTTTTATTTATTTGTGCGACCGTCAACCTAATCTCTCTCGTTCGTAAGAATTATTGTTTTCGCGAGCACCGAACGATTTTGTGTAGAATTACTCCGATTGGTCCGGTACTTTGGGGTGGGAATATTTTAGACAAGCGAGTATAAAAATGAGGATATTTGAGCGCGCGACACAGTTTGACACAGTCTGACAATCTGAGAAAGTACTTATTCTGGCGGCGTTACCAGCGGCTCCGGCGTCTGTATCGACTCTACAGTATATATATATATATATATATATATATACACATCGGATCGCAAATAAATACATTTTACTGGAACATAATATACATATATATATATATCCTCACACACAATCCTGACTAAATTATAATAAATTGAACGAGATCCATCCATCTGGCATAAATCTGAGGACCGCGAATCCAGTCAGCGACGAGGTAAAAAGGTTAGTGCTAATGCTTATCGCGCGCTAACAGTATATATAATAAATAAGTATTCACATATATAAATATATATAATGAAAATCTCTCCTCTAATTTTAAAGTCGACCAGACTGGCAATAATTTATTTAAAAAATTATTAGTTAAATTACAACGTTTCGGCTGTCATTGCAGCCCTTTTCAAGTAATCTATGAACAATTATATACATATAAATATACTCTTAATGCGCTTAATCATACAAATAATTATAAATTTACAAAAATATATATGTTTACATACCAGATTAATACAATAAATCAAATTTACAGCAAACCCCCGACAAAATTAACCATTGTTTTGATGAACAATGTATAACTGACAGAAGTGAGCACGAAGAAAAATAGATGTTGACTGTTAGCAGGAAACTTAGTTACTAACGCGTTGAGAAAATAGAAAACCAGAGTACTGTGTTTTTCGCAATTTTTAAAACGTCAATACAAAGTCAAATAAATAAATAAATAAATAAATAAATATGTAACATATGACAATATAATATATTAAATAGCTTCAAGAACGCGATCATAAATCCCACTGAAATTCTCCGTATCTTTTTGTAAATTAATGCTCTTTCTTTGGTTTTTTATATAGAACATTTCTGCTATTTCTCTTTTTCTTGTTTGTTTTTCTTGATGCAGAATCACAGGAGAATCCCAGCGGAACTCATGATCGTTGCAAGTCCGATGCAAACTAACAACTGAGTGTGATGTCGTGTCTTTTTTGATGTTATTTTTATGTTCCTTAATACGTGTTTCTAAATGTCGCTTTGTTTGTCCAATATATGTAGTCACAATTCGCACATTCGATCTTATAAACGACATCGGTTCTTTTTAAGTTGTCAATACTATCTTTTCCTCTTTTTATCAATGTGTCTAATTTTTTAGGAACGGTATATAATACACCGATTCCATTTTTGTTTATGCAACGAGTAATATTTTCGCTCAAATCTCTAATATACGGCAACACTATAGCATTTCGTGTATCAAATTTATCTCGATTAGACGCACCAAAATTACCGCCAAATTTAATCGCCCTAAGTCTCCTGTTAATAATTTTGTTTATGACTGTTGACGGGTAACAGTTGTTACGAAGAATTCGTTTGACTAAGATGATGTTTTTTTCGTGAAACATAGGGTCCGCGAGTAAAATAGCCCTGTCCACGAGGCTTGTGATCACACTAATTTTATAACGCATCGGATGGTTCAAAAGAAAATTTATATAACGGCCTGAAAACGTAGGCTTACGGAACCAGTCAGTCGTCAATTTGCCATTAACTCGTATAACGTTTGTGTCTAAAAAACTTAAGGAACAATTGTTCTCCAATTCAAACGTAAACCTTAGTCGAGTGTGAAAGCTATTAAAAATCGTAAGAATATCCTCCACTTTACATTTCGGAATAATTGAAAAAATGTCATCAACATATCTGAAATAACAATAGGGCTCAAAATCCAATTGACGCAAACAATATGATTCCAAATCGTCCATAACCATATCAGACAAAATTGGAGACAAAGGAGACCCCATAGGCGAACCGAAAACCTGCTCGTAAAATTTTCCATCAAAAACAAAACTAGTCGAGCGCATAACCGTGTCAATAGCATGTAAAAACTGTGCCATGTTAAATGAAGTGGATTGTGTGATATCATCCCAACGATTTTCTATTGCTGCTTTTATTAATTCCCACGGTGTGTTAGTAAAAAGCGAAGTCACATCCAACGAAATCATGACATGATCGTCATCAATGTTTTTATCCTTAATAATTTCAACAAAGGACCAACTATCTTTAATGTGAGATCGAGGTTTTTTGACTGCATTTTGCAAAATCTCACTTAAATAAGATGCAATGTAATAAACCGGACTTCCTAACGTTGAAATTATGATACGAAGAGGGTAACCTACTTTATGGATCTTAGGTAAACCATAGGCACGAGGCAAATTGCCGTTAGTACATCTCAATTGTTTGTAAACTGAATCATCTATGAGTCCATTATCCAACCAAGATTTTAATAAGGTCGTGATCTTTGCGTTGAGAGCGTTTAATGGATTTTTATTAAGTGATTTATAGGTGGAAACATCTTTCAGTAAACAATTCATTTTACCCACATAGTCAGTCCGATTCATCAATACTGTGACTTGGCCCTTATCTGCTTTTGTTACGAAAATGTTACTATTTGATTTCAAAAATTTTGAACAATAAGTATATCTATTAAAAATGTAACTATCAATATGACTCACATGCTTTTGTTTACTTAAAAATTTGTGTACTGAGCTCGCTACTGAAAATCTCACATTGTCGATGTTATCCTTAGGAAACTTTCTATAATTTGCTTCTATATTTTTTATGTTTTCCAAAACCGAGATTTTCCTATCATTTTTATTATTTCTAAAAATGGGCACGCCAAACTTGTCACCCAAACTCAAAAAATTCATAACTGAATCCGGAACGCGATAATTACTAATGTTAACAATCCATTTGCTGTAATCTATTTTTGTCAATGGATTTCGAACCCCATAATACTTCCGACAAATGTAATCGAATTTCTTTCTTAAACGCCACTTTTCTTTATTATTATATTTGTAGAGAATATGCTTATTATAATCCACAAATCCGAGGACAAAATCATACGGTAAATTATTATACAATCGTTTCTCTATCTGATTCAAATTGGCACGCAAGACACGCAATTTGCAATTGATATTCTCTATCTCCAAGTTTAATAACACGATTTTGTTACGATGCTGGAAATATAGCCATTTACGTGTGACA